GTCGTAATGAAACTATGTCTTAAATGACGCGTATTATTCATAACGTATATAAACTCTGCAGCAATATTTTCATTCATAGATAAATGATAATTCAAAGACAATATGAAGAACATATTAGTATTATTATTTGTAGCAGTAATGGCGTACTGTGTTGCAGGACAAGGGATACCTATTGGTGAGTATATTTTAAGTAACTATTGTCAATCCGGGTATAACAACATCAAAGAGAACGGTTAAATAATCGTAATAATGATAGTATTTATAAACACTTATTATTCTAGAGCGTCGGTAGCTCAGGGGTTATGCACTTGACTTGCAATCTGTAGGTCCTGAGTTCGAATCCCACCATGTACCAATGTGTTTTTCGATTTCCGATTTACATATGTACATTTATCCGACGTTCTTACGGTGAAGGAAAACATCGTGATGCAATCTGCACATATCTGAGAAGAAATTCAAATATATGTGTGAAGTTAACCAACTCGCACTGGGCCAGCTTGGTTGGCTATGGCCTAGTCACCCTTGGTTTAGGGTAGGCTCCGAGCTCCTCGGTGGGGACGTATAGTGAGCTGATGAGCGAGCGATGAGCAATTCTCTTTCAGTGCGTCCCCTCCTCCGTCGATTAAAAGCAACGCATCTACAATTGCGAATGTCTGTGCACGGCGGTAGCTTCGCCATTTCGACGTATTTTGGTGGCAGCAAATTAAGGAGTTTAGCTGATCTATAGTTTTGGTCCCCGCAAATGATATGTCGTATGAATTTCTTTACTTTAAACATTGTTTCTTAAATGCTATCTTTAAATTGTTTAAGACTTTTACAATATTCTTTTTATTGAGTAAGAGGATGGATATCTTTATTGCAAAGATCAGTTAAAAAAAAAAAACTAAAATTGCGACATAAAAGATTGTATCTTTTGATTGCGTTGGCTTAGAAGTTTTATTCACAGCACCAAGAGATCACAGACTTGAGTTTTTGATATAAATTCTAGCTTGTTACTTTCACGCGTTCTTGAGAAAAACGGTCTTGACAGACAGACGGACGGACAACAAAGTGATCCTTTAATGGTTCCGTGTTTTTCCTTTCGAGGTACGGAACTATAAAATTAGTTAACAATGATTTGATTTCCACAGCCAACTGCCCACCCGGAGAACATTCAGTGCTGTACTGTCCTCGGCAAGCTGAGCCATCATGTGACAACCCTAAAGTGCACGACCCACCAGCCGGGGTCTTCGGAGCTTGCGATATACCGGATTGCTTCTGTGATGTACCCACTGTTAGGGATGTCAAAACTAAAAAATGTGTTCTGTTGTCTGAATGTTCTTAATTAATTTTATGTAAGAATTCCAATGTATAGGTATAATACGACTCTCATAGTATTCGATTAAGTAAATAAAGGAACATCATTGAACATTTAGAATGAGAAATCTACACTAAGGGTCTTTGTAAGTAACGATTAAAGTGCCATAACTATGTCATTGGCACTTAATGTCATATAATCAAGCTACTAGCTTTTTTTTAAATGATTTTTAATTCAATTTGATCGCATAAAATTTCATCAAATTGAAATCATGTTTCTATATTTAACAATTTCATGGAACAAAAATCTATTAGAAAGTTAACCATAAAATCTTTTATACCAAATAAATAAATGAGTTTTGTTAACAAATTCTTTTATTTTAATTAATCCTTAATTTTAGAAGCAACTTTTAAACGGCTTACAAATTTCTCGAAGAGAAAACTTTTCACGAGTTATTCCTTTAAAGCTATTTTAGCGACTACAAAATGATATTTAATTTCATATTTTTTGCTTTTTCCTGACTATATTAAATTAATGACATACCAGGTTTATTAACTAACGGTCGCCCTTGACTCCGTCCGCGCGGAATTAGAAAAAAAAATATATTTAGTAGCGTATGTCTTCTTCCAGACTGTTTTATACCTATGTCAAATCTCATCGAGATGCGTTCAGCCGTTCTAGAGATACTTTCAAAGAAACATCCAACATAATATTACTAAGTTTAACAAAATATCACATGTCACAAAATGCAGTTTGACTTAGCTTACCCTCCAATTTTTACAAAACAACTAAAAAATTAAACGCGTAATATACTTCATATATGGAATTCAACGTTTCTTTAATTTCAGGGTTGAATTAAAACAAGATAATGACGGTGTATTAGGTATTTTGTAATTCATTTTCTAGAAGCAATTCTTATTTACAAAGGAAACAGTTCTTGTTTTAACACGTAGAGGAAACCCGGAGAAATACCGCAGCATGTCTCCGACAGGCAAACTCGAGTCTGCGGGGAAATAAAAGAAGCATCTTATTTGTGTTTTTACATCTCACACCTGCACGTAGCCTTTCAATGAATGTTAAGAGCAACCTCGCTTTTAAGACTCTTTGCTATTCGTATTTTTCAGGCGTTGTTTTTTTCTTTCAAGCTAAATAAGTTTTGTTGAACGTAAATTTACATTCACATGTATTTTAGCCTATTTTTATTGAAAATCCATTTAAATGTTTCACGTTAATACTATTGTTGCTAATTTGATGACAACGTGAGTTCAAAAAAGATAAATATTTAAATTGTTCAATCTTGTTTTCTCTTTTAGGAAATTTTAGTTTTTAAAAATCCTCTGATCACAAAGCATTTCGTAATCCGCTTACTCGTTTGTCTCTGTCGTGCACAAACGTCATATGTTCAACACTGGCTTATTCCACCGTGAAGATTCTTTCGAACGAAATCCATGAACAAGTAAGAAAAATAGCGCGTTACTGGAAATCTATGAAAGAGCAAATTGTCTTTGACGTCGCCGAGTGCGCTGCGAAAGATTTAAATTTCACTGTGTTGACATCAATTTTCGCAAATGCGATTTTTATTGATGCCTAAATAAAAGACATATTGTTTCTGGTCTGCATTACAATATTAAAGAAGGAATCGATTTGAACACTAAAACAACTGACAATCTGATTTTAAAACTTGCATTTGTTTATTTAAAAATTGAGGAATTTTATAACCTTAAAAAATAAAAACATTGCTCATAAATGTCAACCAGTGCGGAGTAAAACCGAAATGAAAAGGCCGTAGGTTTACACAGCAAATTGCGCAAACGACAACATAATTACTATGCAGATCTCTGATGCATCGGCAGTGAAAATCCACGGTTAGCAGTAAGAAACCACAGCTTAATATAAGAAGAGGCTAATTGTAATCTCAAGTAGTCCCATTAACGGAATACATTAGCACATAACTCACGACCTCTGAGAATTATATTAGAGAGATAATGTAGAGAATAAACGAATGGTCCAAGATAATGTGCTGAAGCGATTATTACTCTTTTCACCTTAATTTCAATAATACGTACATTTTTTTCACCTTGTTAGTAATATAGAGCTGGAATATTACTTTTTTTTTCAAATTAGTATAACGGTTTGTTCCTCCTTATCGACTAAACATTATATAATAAACTTTAACGCGGAATTAAAAAATCGTAATTAAAAGACTATCCTTTCAGAGTATGTTCTATGTATACCAAATTTTATCGAGACCCGTTTAGCCGTTCTGGAGATACCTTCAAACAAACATCCAACCATTCATCCATCCATCTAAACATTCGAATTTATAATATTAGTGAGATTTAACAAAAAGGAATATAGCAACAATGTATAGATTAAATAATTCTATGAAATCGCTAAATTCTTATGACTTAAATCGGGGTATCCTCCGGGAAATTACAGTTCCAACGAATTAGAAACGTCTCGAATAAATTTCGACAAAAGCAGCCGTAGATATTTTTTAATTATGTAACGTAGCGAAAACGAACCTGATATTTATATACCTGCAATATTTCACAAGAGTATTCGAACGAATTATTTCTATGAATTTTTACAATACTCGTAAACGTTAGGATTTATTGTTTCTCCCGTTTTTTTTTGGTTATCATTTTATCATAGAGAGAAACGATAATTTACACGATTTTTTAATACTTATCTACTAATATTTTAAGACAAAATTTTATTCAAAATGTTAAAGGATTTTTGTTATAAGAAAGAAAAAACAAAAGCTATCTAGCTGTTTACATCAATATCCTAACAGACGAGACATTTGTCATCATTTGTCCTGTATCAAAACATTACTGTCTCTCTCATTCCCATTAAAAAAGAAGAGATAGCAATATTATTATATTTAATTTTAATACGGATATGTCTATGGCCTGATATATAGTATCGAAACTGAAAATGGTTACTATTCAGGACGAGTTTTTTGTTTTTGGAATTTTTCTTTTAATTATATTAGGGTGATTATGATAAAAAATTGAGTTTGATTTTGTCAATAAGTACTGGTTACATAAATTAACAAAGAGTAAACAAAAAAAAATCAATCGACAGATTATAACATTTTTAATTTCCGATATTTCATTTCGTGTGACACTACCTGAAATTGGCCTATTCTTTTTTTTTTTATAACATAAGGTGGCAAACGAGCAAGCGGCCACCTGAAATCGCTGAAATAGCGAAGTGACCGTTGCCCATAGACATACGCAATTGCATATGCGTTGCCTACCTTTAATCGACGGAGGAGAGGATGCACAGAGAGAAAATACTTTCCCTTCCCATGCATCCTCTTATCCGGAAATACCACTTCCACTTCCCATCCTTCCCTTATAAGGAAAAGGGTGGGATGGAAAAGAGGACTAAATTAGGCCTCCGGGACGCACACTCATCAGACGAAACGCGGAATAGCTTCCACTTGACGCCTGTCTTCTGTGTGGTCGTGATATTTCACCGGGCGAGCCGGGCCAATTCGTGCGAATATGTTAAAGCGGACTCTACCACTGTTAATTGTAAGCAGTGTAAACCTACTTTACGGATTAAATCTAATAATTAATAGCATGTTTACACGTCAGTGGAATATTGATATAATTATACTGACGTGGTATTAAAATATCGTATTTTTTAAATCACAAAATTATGTCAAGACGATAAGATATCAATTACTTATCGTAAAATTGTAACTAGAAATAATAAGTATAATTAAAACAGTTCTCTTTACGTATGGTTTGGATATGTGGTGGTTAGTGTTTTTATTATTCGGTTGTGTGTACGCCGAGGGGGACTTTAGAACTGTGGAATTAGAACAGGGATTTGTTAGGGGTGAGAAATATTGGGATGGTGATTACTATGAGTTTTACGGTGTACCGTATGCAACAGCTCCGAAAGGACGTGACAAATACAAGGTGAGTTTAATGAGAAATAGTGAAGTGACAACCCTATTAGTTGCTATGAAACAATACGATTATTTGATGTGCGAGAAATTGTAGAGATTTCAATTATTTTGAAATACATCTGTTATCTGTTTAATTTCATAACAACTTAACGTGGGTTTCTAAGACCGACATCTCCATTTAAAATATATGTTTTCTTTGTTTTATCAAAGATAATGACAAGGATGACGATATGTTTAACACAGAGAATTTGGTCTCAGAAACACGCAATTAGTTAATCTTTTTTTAATCCTCTATCAAGACACTTTATTTTTTACACATTTTTTTGGATTTCACTAAGATAAAAGTTTTTTTTTTTGTAATATTTCAGGGTCCGTTACCGGTAGAGCCATGGCAGGGAGTTTTCGATGCAAAAGTACGAAACACAGTTTGTTATCAAACGTATTATACTGGAGAGGAAGATGACGAAACTATTTTATCGGGAGACGAAGATTGTCTTGTTATAAATCTTTTAGTACCAAAAGTAGCCACAGAAGAAAATTTAGTACCAGTAATGGTATATATCCATAGTGGAGCATTTTCCGGTGGCAATGGAAATATGGCTAAATTTCAATATCTAGCCAGACATGATATTATAGTTATTAGCTTTAACTATAGATTAGGGGCATTAGGTTTCGCTTGTCTTGGAAATGAAATAATACCTGGTAATGCTGGAATGAAAGATCAAGTAGCAGCATTAAAATGGATAAATAAAAACGTAATCAAATTCGGTGGTGATCCAACAAAAGTCACTCTTGCTGGATTCAGTGTTGGAGCATCTATGGCTGAATTACTTACGTATACTAAATCAACTGAAGGTTTAATAGATAAACTTATATTAGAAAGTGGATCAGTATTATCTCCTTTTACTATAAATAGAGATCCAATCAGTACTGCGACAAATATCGCTATATCCATGGGTTATAATGGTACGGGAGAATTAGATGATTTAACGGAATTTTATCTTAACGCAACTCCTGAAGTACTCGTGTCTAAGAGTTTAAATTTCTTTTTACCAAATAGTACATTCGGATTTTCACCATGTATAGAAAACGTTCATGAAGGGATCGAACCATTCCTAACAGAATCACCAACAGATATACTAAAGAAAGGAGAAAATCAGAAACTTCCTGTACTAACAGGTTTTGCTAATATGGAAGGTATAAGTAGATTAATACAATTCGGTAAATGGCGAACACCGATGACTGAGAATTTCTCAGAATTTTTACCAGTCGATTTAAAGTTTTCTGATGAAAAATTAAAAGAAGAGGTAGCTAAGGAGATAAAGCAACATTACTTTAAAGATGAAGAAGTAAACTTAGAGAACATACAGAGTTACGTTGATTATTTCTCTGATTCAATGTTCAAATATTCGATAATGAAGTCAGCAAAACATCATGCAGCGACATCTAATAAGCCTACTTATTTATATGAGTTTACATATGTTGGTAAAATGAATATTAAACACAATTATATGGATAGAATACATGGAGCAAGTCACAGAGACCAAACTGCTTACTTGTTGGATTTCTTCACATGGTCTAACACTTACAAAGACTTGGATATTAGAGATCGTATGACATTAATGTGGACTGATTTCGTTAAATATGGGTACGTATCTATTAATTATTTCATGCATTTTATAGTTAAAATAATTACGTAATGTCTGAAGGTAATAATCCCAAATTTATTGCATTTTTTGTTGCTTATTTATTGTTCAATTTAATTTAGTTTAAAATTTTCAGAGATCCAACTGCCTATGAGAGCAATTTGATCAACTTCAAATGGCGACCGTTTACAAACAAAAAAGCAATCTACTTGCAAATTGACAAAGTATTAACTATGAAGAGAAATTTGTTCCAAGAGGAATATCAGTTTTGGGATAAGATTTATGAAAAGTATTATTGGAATCCAGAACCACCTAAGAAAGTTGAAATTAAAAAGCATGAAATGAAGGTATTGCAGCAGGAAAATGAAAATAAACAAGTGAAAAATGAAAATAAACAAGTGAAAAATGAGAATAAAGATGACAAAATTGAACAAAGTATTAAAAATGAACAAAAAAACGAAAATAAACAAGAGAAAAATGAAAATAAGGATGAAAAGTTTGAAAAAAATGTTAAAAATGAACAAATAAACGAAAACAAACAAGTTAAAAATGACAATAAAGACATCAATATTGAAAATAATATTAAAAATGAACAGAAAAACGAAAAAAAACAAGAGAAAAACGAAAATAAACAAGTGAAGGATGAAACTAAAAACATTCAGGCGACAAACGAAAATGAAAAAGAAGAAATAAAGGTCGCGAATGCAAATAAGAAGCCTGCAATAGTAGCTAAATAATTGTAAAATACATAGATAAATTTTTTTTTTTATTTATATTTTTCAAATCATGCAAATTTTACCTAGAGTTGTGCATAACAGTGAAATCAAAACCATAAATTGCGATTCAAAAAAAGGGTGAGGGAGTTCTTCAAACAGATGTGTCAAACACAGTTCTTTACTATAGAAGGGGAACACAAAATCAATACACCTTTGAAGCATGACAAAAATCCGTATACTTTTTGAAAGGAAATTTCACCAAACAACTAGAAAATGTAACCAAGAATAGGGATGCAGTGTCTTTACCGCAGTTTAATTTATTTTTAACACTCGTCCCTTTTATCTTGAACCCTCCGTTCTTTGTGGTTGACAAAGGGCGTCTAATTTAGCGCCATAAATAATAGCAAGATTTAAACTGGGGTGGACGACGGGAAAGACTATCCCTTCCCTCTTACCATCTCAAGCGAATTAGTAACACAGTGATTATTTGTAATTCTTCCTTTTAAGGCGTCTTAAATAGGACTATGGTTAAGCATGCCTGTATATCTATATTTTTCACTACCATGTGCATATAAACAATGGACAGAAAGTAAGACTTATCATCAGTATAGTATACAAGCGGCAGTATTTTCTACTAACGGTCGCCTAAGAAGCCTATAATAAGCCCGTGTGCATCAGCTGCCTGCCCGTCAGAGTCCTATCAAAATCGGTCCAGCCGTTTAGGAGACGTGGAACAAATGCCTTGCAGAAAGACAGAACAGATTTTTTTTAAATTGATTTATCGTTAGTACCAATGTGTACGAAATATGTTTTTTTCTCGTTATTACATACAGACATTTCATTTATATGTATATATATCGAATTATTGGATTATCAAAAGACTATATGAGAGTAGAGTCTATACCTATAACTTTAAAGTATATTGTATTAATATACAAGCTATCGCCCGTGACTCCGTCCGGGCGGAATTTAAAGCTTATGTGTTCTTCTAAACTGTGTTCTATATGTATGCAAAATTTCATCGAGATCCGTTCAGTAGTTCTTGAGATATATTCAAACAAACATACATCCATCTAAACATTCGCATTTATAATATTAGTAAGATGTATAGATAAACTATACTTCAATTAATGTCTATCACATGAGTTAAAAGTAGTCTGGATCGATACGTGCATGTTAAAGTTACAGTAACGTGCTGCCTTTAACTTTTCTCCGTCTAAATTATAAATAACTCCTTAAGAAGTCGAGTGGTGTGTTAACTCTGTGCAGTGTTACCGTAAAAGCGTCGAGTACAGCAAAGTGAAAAAATACCCTTTAACCCTCTCATTAAAGCTAGGCAAGGTTCACTTTAACTTATAAATATGAAATGCCTGCAGTTCACGTTTGACGTAGCGGTGCGCAGGACTGGAATTTAAACTTAGTTTTCTTTTCTGCATATTCTTCTGTTAATTTCTAAAGTATTTTAATTATACTCAAGAAATTGTTCAATTTCAAAGGAAATATATGAATTTAATCCAAACAAGAATGAATAGAAAAGAACATTTTTTTACTTTCTCTTAGTACCTTATTTCTATTTGAACTTAAATTTATAGAACAATTACAAGATGCATTACATACTTCTGTTCCCTTATAAGTTGAGATTTTAAAACCGGCAACCATATAGTCCAACACGCAATTGGCCAGCGTGGTTGACTATGGTCAAGTCACCCTAATTTTGGATCCCCGAGCCCATCGGTGTGGCTATATGAGCTGGGGACGATATTTTTGAATAGTTTTTGATAATCAGCTTTTTACAACATTTTCTTACAGTAATCTATACTAATATTATAAAGCGGAAGAGTTTGTTTGTTTAAACGCGCTAAACTCAGGAACTACTGGTCCGATTTGAAAAATTCATTTTTTGATAGTCCATTTATAGAGGAAGGCTTTAGGCTATATAACATTACGCTGCGACTAATAGTTTTTGACGGACGGAGTCGCAGGCGACAGCTAGTCGTATAATAAATATTACCTTAGATAAGGGTCGCAATTCAAACAAGAGGCGTCGCAGTTTTATTTCCCAGGCGGCTTCCATTCATAAGTCATAGCTTTCCAAACAGCTTGCTCAAGTTTTCTCTTCGTATTTGTCGAAACTATCAGAATGTATTCAGAGAGATTTCCATAAATACTAAATGCTGGAGTCTTATCCTTACGACACTATCTTCCATTCGACTAGGGCTAGTCTAGGTGTAATCATCCAACAGTTATAATTTACGTCTTTTTTTGTTTATTACTAAACTAATAAAATAAAATAAATAATTATATCAGACCGACAACGAACTATTTCTGAAAAAAGCAAAGCAATAACAAATGAAAATCAAACGAAAGACCCAAAGACAACCATAAAATTTAAAAAAAAAACTCGTCATGGGGTTAGAAACATGCAAAACATGGCTTTTCAAATCATGATGTAGAAAATCACTTCTAGCCATATCGCCATCTATTGGCGAGTTGTGGAAACTACACTATTAAATAACCCATTACTATGATCACGATATAGTACAAAAATTATGGTTTACAAAAGTATCTAATCATACAATAAAGTTTGTTTTTAAAAAATAACATTGTTCAGAAAACAACGGAAAAAAGATCCTTTAAATTTTTTTCTCACTTTCGTGTCTTATCTTGAAAATTTCCTCTTTATGTTTATGCGTTGCAATAAAAGTAAAGGCACCTTTTGTCTGCTACCTCTAACAATAGCCTACTTTTCCTGCTTAGAACTTCACACAAATACACTTCGTAGCAAAATTTGTAACGATTTCGTTTCTTACCTACTCTTGTTTTTTATATCATACGATGGCAAACGAGCGAGCGGCCACCTGAAATCTCTGAAATAGTAAAATGACTGTTGCCCATAGACATACGCAATTGCATATGCGTTTCCTACCTTTAATCGACGGAGGAGAGGATGCACACAAAGAAAATATTTTCCCTTTACATGCATCCTCTCATCCGGCAAGTACACTTCCACTTCCCATCCTTTACCTTATAAGAAAAAGGGTAGAAAGGGAAAGAGGACTAAATTAGGCCTCCGGGACGCACACTCATCAGACGAAACGCGGAATTGCTTCCACTTGACGCCTGTTCATAGTTTTGCACTTTTTTATCGGTTGTATGGATTTCAAGTTCATTTAATACTCAACCAAAGCTACGAGTGGTTTCTTTAATACATAAATCAGATGATTTATGGAGCTGTTTATCTAACGTTTTAGCCCCTCGGTTGTAACTTGTAATAGATGTTCGTTATTGCACAGTCATCTGGTTTGCTTGAGGGGAAACAAAAAGTGGAGGGATTTGCATTTTTTAATTCAAACCAAAATTAAAAAGACTGAAATATTCAAATGAGTGTGTATTATAAAAAGTATTTAACGTGTAACAGTTGTTGTGAAATTAGTTTTTTTAGACCATTATTTGAGTTTGCACCGCTGAAACATCTGTAGAAAATATACCAACATATTACAGTAATTACAGTTTGTTGAAAATTGAAGTTTTTTGTCGGCGGTTCGAATCCCGCCATATGACTATTGTCGTAAACCATATCTTAGCACAAGCTAGAGCTTAGTTGGAATGGTAAAAGAAATATTAGTAAATTTACAAAAAAATCTGCTAATATTAAAAAAAAGAAGTGTTGACTGTGAAAACATAAGTATAGAATTAAAATAATTTAATAGAATAGGTTTTTTATTAGCTTCTTACTATCCTTCGTACTTCCTACTATATAACATTATAAATGCGAATGTTTAGATGAATGGATAGATGGAAGTTTGTTTGAAGGTATCTCCGAAACGGTTTGATGGATCTCGCTGAAATTTGGCATAAATGTGGAACATAGTCTGGAAGAACACATAGGCTACTTATCAAGATTTTAATCCCGCTCGAACGAAGTCGCGGGCGACTGCTAGTCATTTTATAAATATGTTATGAGTAAACTTTGCAACTGGGGTGTCTGAGCATCGAAATCTGAATATACCGAACGTCGGGTGCGCGGGAAACTTTGACAGTTTATGTCTAGCGAATTAGAGGGAACAATATCTCTGACGTGTACACAAGGGAGTTTAGTTATACTTGTATGATGTACTCGTCTAATATTTCCAAGTGATGTGTCTGAATAAGACACATTCGCTTCAAGTCAGGGCCCAAGTGTATCAGTAACAAAGTCCACGAAGGACCTGAGGGCTTAGCACTTACTATCGTTAGTACATTTTCGTAACGTCATCGACATGACTTTAATTTGTGGAGCACCTAACAGGCTTACAGTACAACAGTAAATCTGTACATAGATACAAATTCGACATATAGTACCCGCTTAATACGTCAACTTGAAACATGTTTTCATACATTTCTGAACACTTAATACGATCGTTATCCCGTGTAATACGCCATCACACGCCGCACGTATTGTTTCTTGTGCCAGTAATTTCCAAATTAACCTTGTCACTGCTGAGATGTAAGAATAAGATACTGTGATACTGCAGAGTTATTCTGGATATTCTGGACAATGTGGCACCGTAAGATGTGTATTTATCAATGACGTTACTAAGGCGCTTGTCGCAAATATGCGCACTGGGCCCTGGAAAACGAAGCGTAGACGATGCGTCGAGTTCAACCACGTTAAATTAGTTTAAATGGCGTAAGTCTTTCTGCAGTAACGTTCTTTAATAAATTTTCAATTAGTAGTTTTTGTTACAAGGCAAGATTTAGATTCCTTTCTAAATGTGAAAGAAAGTTCATTTTATTTTGATATATCTTAAAATTACTTTTTTTAGCAGCGATATTATAAAGATGGTACTTCTTCAACATGCGCTATTTCCATTATTTAATCCACGAAAAAAGAATTCAAAACGCACGTAAGTTGAAACACAAAAGGATTTTTGGACTTTATCATTTCTGCACCATTCGTGTTTACTGAATTCGCGACGCGCCGACTTCGCCTTTTGTTCCCTTTATCTGGGAAAAAGGTGCGTCATAAAAATCCTGTACACCTGAAATTTTACTAGCATTGTTTCGTGTAACATTGCTCTTTGGTAGCTACTCATTTTTAGTACTTCATTTAATTCGAAGTAGATTTTAAAATATCAAA